TTTCATGTAATTGTTGCCATAATTTTGTATCAATTTCATCTGAAAATTTTTCTTCTCTTCTTATTCTTATACCTAAATGTTTAAGTGGTGATCTTCTAATTATGTGTTGTTGATCAGCATGTTCAACAAGCATCAAAATAAATTCATCTGATAATGAGACCATATCAACCCATATATCTTCAAGTTCTCTAAGCATATCAGTTGTTTGTAAAATACAAAATGGTGTTAATATACAAACTAATGATTGATCTTGTAGATTTAATTTACGTAAATATGGATTATTTTTAGTCAATGTTAAAACTGTATCATCATCTAATGATATCGTAAGACCGGATAGATCACATGAAGTAAGAGATTCACGACGATCTTTGGAAGCATCATATTGAAAAAATATTCGTAATGCTTGAATTATATTTTGAGATTTCATTAATAATGGATTATGACTAATAAAACGTAAACGAAATGAACGAATTTGTCGACCTTGTGAACATTGTGCTGGTCCAAAAAGTGTTAAAAGTTGACAAAGAGCATAACGACACGAAGCATCATGTTGTTCAACATCAATATATAAATGTCTAACATCTTTACGAAATCGTTTTAGATATTGTTGAATATAACCATATGGTCTTGGATCAATATTTGTCATATGTTTTGGTTGGTCTCCAGATTGTCGTATCCATCGTGGTAAAACACGACCAAGTCGTTTTGGTGTCGGACTAATTGGTTCTTCAACAAATGCATGTAATTGTATAACACAAGTAAATGCAAGTCGAGGAGAATTTCGTAGAATATTGTACCATAATTTACATGTTTCTTCTAAAGGAGGTCGTTCATCGATTGATAAATAAGAAAATATTTGAACTAAGACAAGTTCAGGAAGGTCATTTATAGGACAATGTTCTATCTCATCGGATGACGCCATATTCTGTGACGATTCTTCTATTTTCTGCTTCTAGAAAGAGGAATATTTGATGTATATATATGTATATGTGTGTGTGCATTAATACATAGGCAAAAAAAAGCAGCTTATGGAATATAATATTCTTTCTCAACACAGTAGTATTAATATGGTGAAACACAGAACAGAATGAAAGACATGTGGCTATGAATCATCTAACGTTAGTGCATGAAATGCATTACCTTATTAGGAGTGAGTGTGTGTTTCGAAATCACCTTTTTTGGTAAAAAGAAATTTGCGAAAAATTGCTTGTTGTGACAAGTGAAAAAGGAACACCTCGTTGTTTTGTTTTTTTCAATCATATGCGATATTTAAGTATAAAGCAACAAACACCATTGACGAAGATTAGAATAATTAATTTCTTTTTTAGATTTTGAATTTTTACTAGGAAATAAATTGTTTATTCGAAACTTTTGTCATTGTTATTATAATATTATAATACTAGTAAGAAGCAGTTTTGCGAATAAATAAGTCATCTTCTTGGACAACTCTCTTGCATGAACGTTGAAAGTACCTTGAAATAATATTAATTTATTCTAACTTTGTTTAAAGTCTTTTGGAACGAGAAAATTTTTTTATCACTAACGAGTGAACAATAATTAATCGAACTAAATGTAAATGCAATTTTTCTCTCATTTAAATTCATACAAAATATTCATTCGTGCATCCAAACATGGAGAATTTCAAGCATTATTAAACTAAGTTCTTTTTCAAAAGAACATTTTACCTTTGCACGATAATTCAAACATTTTTATATATCCCATATGTTTCCACTACGATGCATCGTTGCTTGTGCTTTGCAAAAGTATGAAGGATATTGAAAGCAAGGAATTTGAGATCCAAAAATAATTTTTTTTCGTCTTTTGAGCTAATTCAGTTTCAGATATTCAAGTTTTGTTGAGAATTTAAAAATGTCTTGAATATATCCTGGACAGTAGTTTTGGGATGGATTTCTAAGCAATGGAATTTTTCTTTTGAGTTGAGGTTCAATAGTGCGACATATTTTCGCCAAAATTCACGATAAACCAAGTAAGTTTCAAAATGAATGTAAAATTTTGTTTTCTTTTTATTTATTGTGTCCTGAATATTTACATGAAGCGATAATTTAGAGTTTCGACCTACAACTAACGAGATAGACGATTTCATCGAGAATACTTTCTTTGTTTTAGAAACCTAGTGAATTTCTCGGTAGTAATGTTACACTTTTTTCATTTACTTTTAGTTCCGCTGTAGAGATACACCATATATCTCAGTGTGTTGATTGCTTTGAAATCGAAGAGAAGTTCTTTGTCAATGTGAAATACACAGTTTTTTAGAGTTTGAAATTCTCAATCTTTTTTTTTATACGTATAAGTGAATATTTCATATGTATTATTACATGATGCTTGTGTGGAAAGTTGTGGAACTATCACAGAAGCCTGAGACTGTTTTGACAGACTTATGAAGCTACAGAAAAGACAGAATAATAAATAATTGAAAAAATTACATTTAAAATTAGTCCAATTCATTACGATATATCGTTTAATAATACGGATTGAGTTGATCAAACAAAAAATTTCGTTTTCATCCTTTTTAATCATTTTATTTCTTAAAAAAAATAGTTCAACATAATATTGTTATCAAATGTTCTGCACAAAATTTCTACATAAATACATCTGAAACACCATAGATTAACATTGAATTTTTTCTAATTCTAATCGATATGATTCCATTTGAGCAACTAATGGATCATCAGATGATGAAATAAATGATTTCATTTCTTGTATAGCATCGATTAATTCTGAATATATATAAGAACTACATATTCCATTGGATAATTGTACATCACAAGCACATTTACGAAGTTGAATTAATACTCGTTCAGGTTCATTAATTGGTAACGTTAAACGAGATCGTTCGACACCTAAAATTTGTTTTTCTCTGGATAATCACAATCGAAAAAAAAAAATTTTTTGTTTTTTAATTTACCTTCAGTATATGAACGTAAAGCTGATTGAAGCATAATTTTTTTCGTAGCTGGTCTTGCAATAGAAGAATTGAAAAAAAGAAAATCACCACGTTGTCTTAATGTCATAACAATATCTAAATCTTTATTTGATTTTGACGCAAGAAAATAATTATCAATTAATTGTACTATATCATTACATAAATAATCAATTTCATCTTCAATTATTTCTAAATAATCAAAATCAATTTTTTTATTTAATTCAATTGATGTTAATTTCCAATAGGATTTAAAATTATAATCAAGTATAAGTTTATTATAAGCTGTATAAAGCATTTGACGATCAATTGGTGGAATATCACCATAATATTTTAGATAATTTTTATAGATTAATATTACTTCATTATAACGTTTAGCACATGAAGCAAGACCAGCTTGCTCACGTAATTCAATTAAATTATCAGCCATCTAAAATAGAGAAAAATCTATTTTCTAGATTAAATTATATGCGAAATAGTCAAGAACAAGAATAGTTACCAATCTCCAGTTTTTGCATATAATAGTAGACAAAGGCCTCTCATCGCCACATATCGTGGCAACTATACATCATACTGAAGATCTAAAAATTTGTGTGAATATAATGCACTAAGAATTATAGCTTTTTACCTGAAAAAGAGTGTTTACTAACTATTTTGTTACCTGTTATTAAGTACATGACTAATTCTTGATATTTTAACATGAAAGTAGAGAGCCCAGTCAATGTTGTTGTTTTATTCAAAAGACCAGGTAATTTAATCGAAGATTATTTTCTCTGTGTACCTCCGAGTTCTCTGTATTCGGATGTTATTTTCATCTAGTTGAAGGTTCTTTCATGGAACTTGTAGGTAATAATGCTCAATTATAGACAAAGCTTATGTACAAAGTTTAGTTCGATTCAATGACATATTAGTGAGCTATGATCTCCATAGGCTAGTAGTTAGTTCTTTTCTCACACGAAGGATCATGGAAAAAAGTGGCTATAATTCTAGAAAGGCTTGATGAACTTTGATGAAATTAACTACTGAATAATGGAGAATAGGTTGACTCACAAATTTCGTCTTTTTCAAAGTTATGAAGTTAAAAGGATAAATATGTGCAATCCATTACTATCTATTATAATTTTTGTTTCATTTAAATAATCGAGGCACACTTATTTCTCAGACATGTATTCTTAGTAGAGTAAGTGCATACACGAATTTTGAAATCTCCAGTATGTAGAGTAGCCAAGATATGGCTGATGAGAAACTCTTGTCCACTATTGTAGATACATTTATCAATTCTAAAGTTAATTGATCATGCAATGAGAAGTATTCGATAGTTTTCAGTGAGCATATTCAAAGTAATGTTTTGAAGAACGTTTATATCAGGGTTTGAATTTAAAAATAAAATCGTTGAATTGCATGAAAGCTAATTTCTCGACTGAGTCCATTATCAAATGATAAGATATTTGAAGTAATATCAAAATGATTAGATCAACATCAAGAAAATCTTCTGTTTTTGATTAATACTGTGTTACAAATGATATTTTTTCAGATTTTGAATAGGTAACTTCATATGAATATAAAGGGAGAAGAACCAACATAGGCAAAATTTTCTATGTTAATCCAACTGACATATATTATAATTCGCAATGCAACTATAGTAGAAACGCTCAATATTTTACGAATTAGAAGGATTTTATTTTTCAACTGTCTGTTCAAAACTACTTATTGCCTAATCGTTTAGATCTTTTGAATAGTTTGATACATCATTGCATCCTATTTAGAATACTGAGAGCTTTTTTCGTTTTTAAGTTATACACTGAGTAATCAAACGTATTCAATTTTCTTTAACGAAAAGTAATAATTTAAGGATCGTGTTTTCTAAAACATCGAAGCTATACCTAAGAATATTTAATTAATAAATTAGATACTTAGTAATTGTATTGAAGTTTCATCTAGTAGTAAGTTTCTTTTTTTTCTGACAATGCTTTATTTGACTCATCTAAAAATTAGAAAAAACACACATCAATGACACAAAAGATAAAATGAATCTCGACCATTCATTATTTATTATTATTTAAATAAATCTAGTAGCACCAGGTAAAAAAGAAAGAAAAAATCTAAAATAGAGAATTGAGAAATTATTCTTAATTATATGTAATATCATTTTATTGTTAATCTTACTTTGTTTGATTATTGTCGTTTTTGAACGCAGATGTTCAATTATAACTGTTGTATTATCATCCGAACACTTTTTATTATTATTAATAAGATAATCAGGTAAAATAAGTAATTCACGTTTTGCTGCATTAAATATTGGAAATGGTCCTTCATGACAAACTTCACCTGTTTTATCATCAAGATCTAATGACCAAATAATCACACCACCATAACCATGTTCTTTTAAAAATTGCATCTAGCATTTTTTTTGTTGAAAAAAGAATTCATATATAATGATTAATAAATTATTTATTCTTACTTTAAGTGTAACACTTCGAACATTATCAAAACCAATCCATAAGGATTTACTTGATACATATGGAACGCTCATTTGTCGATGCCAAAATACACGATTATTTGGATTATTTTGAATTAACTCACAAATCTATTTATTTTAAAATTAATATTTATTCATTTTACTGAAAGAAACGAAAAAACTTACTTCATAGTAAGCAAGAACACCTGCCTCTCGTGTATATTTTCCAGCTTCAGCAGCACTTGCTTTTACTCCAATTGATGATTTTTTCTTTGTTTCTGGTTTACCATTGCTCATACCTGTTTCTCCAAATAATGAAAAAGCTCGTCCTTAATGAAAAATTCATTGTATGAAATATTAAAATGTGTGAAGAAAAGAAGGACAAACCATAAGCTGAAAGACCAATATTAAGTTTTTCTTTTGGACAACCTAGTTCAACCCATACATGCATAGAACTATTTATATTCCATTCACGAAATTTTTTTCGTTCATTACGCATTGCATATAATGGACTATTATGTCCAGTTTTACCATCCCAGCTACCATGATAGTCATCTATATTAGCACAATAAAATATTCTTTTCCGAAACAAAAACAAAAAAAATTTTTAATTAGATAACTTACAAGTCATAACTGATACAAAATCAAAATATCTTGAAATAAAAAAGAAAATAATTAAAGATTAGACAATATCAAATGATATTCTCACTTGCAAACTTCTTCTACTTCATAACCAGCTTCGACTCGATGTCGTGCAGCAGCTATAATAATATCAATTATAAATTTTATATCTTTTTTTTTAAGAATTAAAGTACCTGTAGCACATGTCAATAATAATTTTTCTTGTCCTGTACGTTCAGCTTCTCGTTTGAATACTCGACTTAATTTCTATTTCAAATAAAAAATTTTTTCTTATTAATTTTTGATGAAGAATTTTCCATTTACTTTCACCAATTTCGTATATCCAGTTTTAGAATGAGGTTCAGCACCTTGATCTTTTGCTCCAGGATATTCCTATTCGAATAAAATCCTTTTTGTTTTTGATTCAATCAATTAACAATACATATTAATTTACCCAATCTAAATCTAATCCATCAAATTTATTATCACGTAAAAATTTCACACTGTTCTTGACAAAAGTTTTACTGTATTTAATAAATAAACAAATTCTATAAATTCTTTCTTTATCTATGTAAAAGACAAAACACCTACATATTGGCAGCACTTTTTGATACTTCATTAAAACCACGAGATGCATGTGTCCATCCTCCAACACTCAGAAGTATACGTAAATCAGGATTGGCTTCTTTTAATTTTAATACACGTTCATACATGCCTTTGGAATTTGCTGTCCATCCTTTTAAATCATCTTCTTCATATGGTGCTATTGTTAAGCTTTCAAGTACTTTAGCAAAAGCAAAATTAATATGTGTACATAAAAATGGATCTATATCTTCGGGAGTTAAACGACTGATATTATCATATCGTTTAGCTGCCCAATTAGCAAAATAACAACTAATTTCAAAAATAATAAAAACGTATCTAATCAATGAAATAGATAGTCTTTTTATCTACTCACACACGTCGATAGACAAATGTCGATTCAGTTGATGTATCATTTTGACAATCAGCTCGAACTAAAGAAAATAAAGTTTTCTAATAAATATCACTTTGTTCTTCTATACCTTGTCTAACTGTTAACCAAATAATCATCATAAGAGAAGTCAAAATACTTGTCGTCATTGTACATGAATGAATAATAACAACTAAGTCTTTGCTTGCTGATGCTTATCGTTCGTTCGTTGAAGTTAAGTCAAGCCCCGTTCTAATCTCTTTCTTTCTCGCTTTGTTTATATACAATACGAGTGTGATGTTTGCAAACAAACGATTCATATGAACTAAATTGACAAAAGAAAAATAGATCGAAAACGTTTCAATATTTGAATTTATTTATTTTATCTTTTATCAACGATGTGTAACACCAAAAATTAAACCAGTAGCCTAACCAAGGGTAGGACCATCGGGCAACGCCCAATGCCGAAATTTTTTGATATATGAGCATGTGCAAAGATCTATGTGGTACCATTGTAATACATTGTATCTTGTTGTAACACTAATCAAGTGATCCAGAAAGATCAATTGACTATGTGTTCCTTTAAATCGATGATCACCGTGATGACAATTTAACAGTACTTTTTTCTATCAAAATACTCGTTATTTCACTTTAATTCGCTAATGGTTCTCTTTATGCTTATTTATACTTTTTGACATAATTGTTTCAAATACTCAGAGCATACTCAACGTTGTGGCAGTGACACCTAAATACCGTATAGTAAGCTTTAATACACTTTCTTTCTATATAATCTGATAGAGAAAAGAATGCTCTTGTTTTGTGCGCTATTTGATCATACTTCAACTAATATCATAGTAATAAACTTTCGATAAGATTTGTTTCGCTTTGATATATGCCTGGCAGTACTTGCGCCTATTTAGTAGATATTTTTTGAATAACTTTTCATAGAAACAAGATAGAGAGCTGCAGTTTTCATTTCTTGAAAGAAGAGATAAAGATGCATCGAGACATATATTACAGGTTTTTTTTGACGTGATTTTTTTAAAGGTTTTCAATTAATCTCTTTGACAACAAACCTACTCGCGAGGTGTTTATAGTGAATTCTCAAATGTCAGATCTTTATTGAAACCGTCGATGGAAGAACTACAAGACTGCACGAGGCTCAAAATTAATAATTTAGAAGTAATAGATACTCTAGTCAATTTTTTAAGTGATTTTTCTGGCGATTTCTATAAAAGAATTTTTTGCTGTTTTCTTTTTGATAAGAAACTATTTTCTCACACTTAAAAAACTAATAACACAAACATGATACCATATACTAGGAAAACGTATAATGTAGGATTCAATACATCTTTATCTTCTCTGTCGAACGATACAAACCGCAGCTCTCTATCTTGTTTGTACGAAAATTTATTTAAAAAATATCCCCTAAATAGGCACTAGTACTACCATGCACACATCATAGCGAAACAAATCTTATCGAAAGTTTATTACTATGATATTAGTTGAAGTAAGATCAAATAGTATACAAAAAAAAGAGCATTCTTTTCTCTATCAGATTATATAGAAAGAAAGTTTGTTAAAGCTTACTATACAGTATTTAGGTGTTACTGCCACTACTTTTCGTATGCCTTAAGTATTTGAAAGTTGAACAATACATTTGTGAAATCGTATAAAAAAAAAAGAGAAAGAGCTCGTCTCTTACTTAAGAGTAACGAACCTCTGCCTTCAGTACACATCGCTTTTTGGGATGGTAATAAGTGTAAAGAAAATTCTAGCCCAATTGATTTTCAACTACTCATTGCTGCCGACTCCTTGAAATAGTTTACCCAAAAAATGGCCCATGGCTTCAGAATTCTTGGCTACGTCATAAAATTAAACATTTCAAAATACTAGCTAAAATCTACACCGATAAGCGAATAATTCAATACGAAATGATTCAACAAAGGTCATACAATTTACATCAATGGAAGTTTATGAAAGAAGAATTGGAATGAATCAAACTATAAATACTGATAATGACGATATTTAGCTCATTTGATAAAAACAACTGAGCAATATATTGTCATTTTACGTATATATTATACCACGAAGTAATATGTATGCGTTTCAACGTATTCAAAATATCTTTCGAAATTTAATTTCATGCTTTATAATTAAATTAAATTTTCTAGTAAGAATAAAATCATAGTTTTTTTATCTGAATGAACCGCGTAATGGTAGAGAAAAGAACAGAATCGACGAGTACATCGAATATTTCACATACAATAATGCAACTAACGCTTTTTGCATCTAAAGAAGTGTTTGCTAATGCACTTTTCATGCAATCTAATACTACTAATTCACTTAGAAGCGTAATAGCTGTCTATTAGAGTCCAAATAATAATCGTGTTACATTACCCAAAATCTTTGTTCCTGGTTTATCGTACATGTATGTTCATTTGATATGATAGAAGCCGATCCAACACTTTTCTAAAAAACCATTCGATCATAGACTAAATCAAAAACTAAATGAAGTTAACATAACCTTCTCTTTTAAAAGTACTTACTCAAATAAAAGAGAAAATAAATTAATCAGTGAATAATTTTGACAAAAGATGCCTAAGTTCAGAACTCTATATGAAAACGGAATTAATAGTCATTTCGATTGAATTCCATTTTATGCAATGATTCGAGCAAAATCATTAGCAGAGGACAATAATCTTAGATTAGATATTGAATTTATCCATTGTTAATGTTCATCAAAAAAACCCAACGACATGACCTTAATGGAACACTAAATCAAAATTTAATAATGAAACAATATCAAGACTAATCATTATATAAGTTTAAGAATTATATATATATATATATAACTTCAAGGAAGAAACAATATTTTTTCTGACCCTATGAAATGCACAAGTAGAATATATTCTGTTTTTGAAAAATATCGATAAAGTCTTCAACAAAAATTCGATTAGAACAAATATTCTTCTCTCGATATATAAAATTAAATCAAATTATGACACAAATCTATAATTACATTTCATTTCTGCTTTTATTTTATTTTTATTTCTTTTACTAGATTTAATAAATATTGTTTTACTAAATCGTATATTAAAGTATAACTTTTCATACTATCTTCTTTTAGTATTTATCAATCAATTATCACTCGATCTAATTTCATCCTCATTAACAAGTAAAGTACAATTGATTGAAGTTTCTATGTATTCCACTAAAGAGATTAGTTGCATTAAATCGAATGAAGAAGAGAAATGATCTGAAAGAACAAATGAAATTCGTGCATTAGCCTTTACGCAAAATTATTACCAACGCCATCTGTTGAGCACTGGTAATTTTAAAAAATATGATCTATTAATTGAATCAATCAAGCTATTTAATATTTGTTAAATAAGAATTATTTCATAGTCACACACTTTTGACAAGAAAACAAATGACTCATATTTCCGATTATTTGTAAAACAACAACAGCAAGTTTCTTAAAAAAAAACATGATTTATCGAATAAACGTGTTCTATTTTTTTTTCGCTTCTTTTGCAGATCAGTTACATTATTAATTGAAAGTATGACTGAAGAGGAAATTCTAAAAATTAATCGAAAATTACAAAAAATGATTGATAAATCTGACGTGGTTTGTTTGAATTTTTGAATAAATATTGTTCTTTCATTTACTCATATACCTTTAGGATGAAAATATTACTCGAGACTTACTTGTTCGTTTACAAGAATCACGTATAACACTGAATACTCTGCAAAAAACGGGTATTGGAAAAACCGTGAATAATTTACGACGACTAATTACCAATGAAGATTTATCAAGTGTTGCTAAAGGTCTTCTGAAAAATTGGAAAAAACTTGTACCCGGTTTGTTTCTTATTTTCTTAATAAATATAAATATATATTTTATTCTTGTTAATCTTAATTAGAAACTTCATCAGTATCAGCAAATAAAGATGACAAACAATCAATAACAAGTAGTAATAGTAACAGTCAAAGTTCACAAGAAATAAATGTAGCTAATGGAAAAACTACTGATTCTAATAAATTCACTAAAGAAAAATCATTTGAAAGACGCTCAACATCAAATAATTATACAGCATTACATACTGAAGATGAATTTCGGTCAGGAATCAAATAATTCATAAATACATATTAAATAAGATTTTATGTATTTCAGATTAAAATCGCGTGATCTTTTAACCGCTGCTCTTTCAGTTTCTGAACTTCCCGAAGGCTCTGTTGATCCAGCGGAATTATCTGCTCGTATTGAAGATGGTAAAGAAACAAAAATATTTTATTATAAATAAAATCTCTCGATTTCTTTTTTAGCTATTTATAAAGAACTTAAAGATACAGGTGGTAAATATCGTAATCGTATCCGTAGCCGTATTTCAAATTTAAAAGATGTCAAAAATCCAAATCTACGTATAAACGTTCTTCTCGGTATAATTACACCACAACGATTAGCTGTACTCACTGCTGAAGTTCGATTATCCTTTTTTTTTTGTTTTCAAATTAAAAAAAAATTTAACAATCATCTTTCTAAAATAGGAAATGGCAAGTGATGCATTAAAACAAGAACGATCAAAATTAACCGATTTAGCTATTAATGAATGTCAACTTGCTGTTGATGAAGGCACTGGCACTGATCTTATTCAATGCAAAAAGTATAATTTTTGTTGATTTTTAAATAGAACTTCAAAAGAATTTTTTTGAAATATTTTTTCAGATGTAAACAAAATAATTGTGCTTACACAGAAGCTCAAACACGTAGTGCTGATGAACCCATGACTTTGTTTATTCTTTGCAAAAGTTGTGGACATCGTTGGAAGGTAAACAAAAAACAAGAGAAAAGATAATTTAATTAAAATAAATATTTATTATTTTCTCTTTTTTCGTTTCAGATGTAGATCAAAGTAAACTTATTTATTTATTTTACATTCATTATTTCCCGTCGTTTCCTTCTTTTCTTTTTCTTTCTTTTTGTAATTAACAGAGTTTTGCTTAAATGTATTGCAGTCACTATCATCAAAAAAAAAAACGTTGTTTTCTTTTTTTTTTAGATTTTCTATTTTCTCGTTTTATTCATGTCTGGTGGAACAAATAAATCAGCTGCTCAGTTAATGACTGAAGCAAATAAAAAAGCTAAATCAGCTAATGGACTTTTTCAACGTATGCTTGGATCGGGTAGTACAATGAATGAAGATGCTCGTGAACTTTATATTCAAGCGGGTAATGCTGGAAGAGCTGAAGGTAATTATCCAACATCTGTCGAAGCTTATAAACGAGCATTAGATTTAAGTACTGAAGATTTTGAAAAAGCTCCAATGTATGAAGCCATAGCATCATCATATAGAATGTTTGATTTACCTCAAGCTATACCACCATTAACACGTGCTGCTGAATTACATATGACTCAAGGTAAATGGACAATGGCATCACAAATATTCGAAAAAATTGCTGAATTATATGAACAAATGAATGATTATGAAAATATGATGAAATGTTTAAAAGAAGCATATCGATTTTTAAAACAAGAAGGACAAAAAGCAGGTGCAAATAGAGTACAAAAGAAAATGGCAGAAACACTTGTACTTCAACATGAATTTTTTGAAGCACAACAACAATTTGAAGAAATGGCTGAGAAAACAAAAGATGATGCTATGCTTAAATTTACTGCTAAAGATCATTGGTTAAAGTAAATCTATTAAAACTTTTCTTTTTCTACTTCTTTCATTAAATTTATTATAGAGCAGCAATGTGTGCATTATGTATTGATGTTGAAAATGCTAATACAGCATTGAATCGATATATAAATGATAATCCATTATTTGAAGAACGATCAATTGAAGTAAAATTACTTCGTCAATTAATTACTGATGTTGAAGAACAAAATACAGAATCATTTTTTAAACATTTTGATGATACAGCATTATCAACATTACGCGCTGATCGAATATTTCGCTCAATGATTGATGATATTGCAAAAAAGATCAATGGTGATTTTGATCTTAAATAAATTCAAAGCTGGTTCAGAACAGTAAGTATTTTTTTTTTAGTAGATTTTCTGTATGTCTGTGCAATACAATCGTAAAATATGAGATATTTATCATTGTCATTTATTTATTTTATTTTATTTTTTGTCTTTTTTCGTGTATCTTTGAATGTATAAAGAAAAATCTCGGGATTGTAGAGTCATTCCATACTTTTAGAGTATCTCATTTTTTTTCTTGTTGTCTTGTCTGTGATTGTGTCAGTTTATATCTCAAATAATCTTCATGTGCTTTTCTAATAAATAAACTGGCTAATATGAAGAAAAAAAAAACATTAAAATCATTATCGAAATGTGAAATTAATTTACTTCGTTTAAATTACATACATATCTAGATAAGAAAACAACAGACTAACTCTAAGATTACAGAAAATACTTCATTTGCAGTTAATCTATTTTTAATAGGAATTTAGAATGATTAAATATTTAAAAAGAACACATTCTAGTGGATTATATAATGAGCATAAATCCAATATTGTTGAGTTTTATTTGTAATAAAATGACACTCTTATAATATGAAGGACAAATTAATATGATAAATGATATCCTTAACAAAAATCGGAAAATGTATTTGTGTCAGTAACGAATGTATTCTATATGTACATATATATATATATATATCTGTAATAAATCCACCATGTAAGCGAATAAGAAACAATCTTGAAAAGTTTTCAGAAATTTTGAAATGCATACTACTTTCTCTACCATCATTATTATAGATATTCCAGTACAATTTTCCGCTTTATTTGATCCGTTTGGTTCAAGAGTGACGCTGCAAAATCGATGACAAATTGAGCATGAATATGTCGTCCTTCGATATTTTTGTTTTCTTACGCATGATTGTCAATGAACACTAAATTTGATACAGAGAAAGATGAATATCTCTTTCTCCTTTTAACTGTCATTGACATGTCTATGTCTCGCGATCTCTCATGCGCATTCCTATTAGAGATATATGCGACCAAAATTATTTCGTCACGACCTGCGTAACCTTTTTTCCAGAAGTTTCAATAGCTTCTTTTCTAGGGTCCCAGATTCGATGATTTTAGTTTTTTCGATTTGAGTCCTGGTTTAGAGATGACTATTCTAGAATCTATTTGTATCATATCTAAAAATATTCTTCAATACTCATTTTTTAAATATTTTAGTCGACGACTAGCACGTTTGTGGTTTATCTCTATTCAATTATGTTCTGCTCGATGATGTATAAGATAATTCGCTTAAAACCATAGAATATTGAACCATAATAATTAGTTCCGGTTCAGACAAGTGTTGTTTGTCGCAGTTCTGATCTCGCACATCACTACTCACGAAACATCAATTTTTTGCCAATTGATAAGAATTTTGTTATTCTTGTGAACTCTGTATAATTTATTTTGTCTATACATGCATCTTTTAAAACGATACGAAAAAAACAAACATTCTCATAATCATATCATGTTTATTAAAATAATTCGTCAAGAAAATTTTGTTAGATAACATTGAACAAGAATTTAGTATTAGGTTATAAAGTGCTTTTGAAACAAATGAATAAGATAGAATCAAAAACTGTCTTAGAAGAATTTTTTTGACAAGTTTAAAAAAACATCAATTTAACTGCTGTTCGTAAAATGTTTCTCACGAGTTGAATGTAACAATCACAAATTCATTGCAAGTATATTTCTTTCTTCTCTTGTTATATTGTTTATGAATGTATGACAAAAATAAATCACATATAGTTTAAAAGAGGAGACAATTTTCTATCAACACTTACTTTTACTTATTGACGAGATCTATATGCCAACATTTTCAACCCTTGCTTTGCATCCTATAAAAAACGAGAATCTTTTCTCGACTATCACTTTTTCTGCTCGTGTCATTTTGCTTATTAGTATATGATTTATATAATCATATATTGGACGAAAGAGAAGAAAACTTCATATATAATAATAAAAGAGTTTCTTTTCTGAAACGAGTTCATTAATGCTATATAGAGGTCGACAAATTGCACCATTACCATAGCGTCGTATATCATGAATTTCATCCACGATTGTTTTACATGCTTCATAACAAATTAGATTTTAGATTTTCCTGTTCTATCAAAGACACACATAAACTAACAGTAGTAACTGTGAAATGGAAAAGACGTATTCCAAAAAATATTTGTATTTACAAAGAACGCATCTTTATTATGTCCAATATTTTTATTTTCCAGGAAATATACTCGCGCTTTTCGTAATGTGATGTAGTTAGTTTTCAAAGAGAATGATTGCCTTGTCAAACTAGTGTGGCACAGATTGTTGCTAAAGAATTTATCCCAACACAATTGTCATAATAGACTAGATATTTGATTCGAGAAGGTAGTAAACCAATTGATATTATCTCTTTGTGTTTTCTTGATACATCAATTAAACATGCTTGTCGACATAGAGTTTTTGAGTGATATTTATTTCATTAAAAAAAGCACAGGTATAACAGCTCAACATTCTTTTAACACTTGCTTTCCTTAACGATGCAAAAAAGACAAAGAGTAGAAGAACAAGCATCTACGATTCACAAAGAATGCCGTATATGCGGTGCTTTAGCACGTGGTCTAAATTTCAATGTCATTACCTGCATGTCTTGTAAATCGTTTTTTCGGAGAAATGCACATAAAAAATCTGTAAGTTTGATCTAAATCGATATAAAAAATTTACCAGTGTTTTCTCAACCAATTCAATAGCTTATTTTACTTTGTCAATTTGAAAATGATTGCAGTATAACAAAAATAACACGCAGGTACTGTTCACCTTGTCGTTTAAAGAAATGTTTAGCATTAGGAATGGATCCTAAATTAATTCGAAATATTCCTGATTCCAGCACTATTTCCAAGGATGAACAGTATGTACAAACAATTGACAACAAACGCATACTGTTACCAAGAGTAATACTATCTTTTGAATTTTCTATGAAATGATGTGTTTGTTTTTTTTACTATATAGCCTTTATCACTTAGTCTTCTTCGAAATGATCGCTCAGCATTGACAACTAATGAATGGACTCTTCTTTCAAATTTTCTTCATGCATTTGATCAGCAAAATGCTTTCACAAGAATTCAGTATTCTCTTGCTGAATTATCTTCGTTACCACCTAAATTACGTTTGAAATTATCTGAAGTCACAAATGTTCTTCGTGAGCTTTTTAGCAATGTTGGACCAATTATTGAACGTTCACCAGATTTTCATTCTTTACCTGTTGATACTCGTCAACTTCTTATTAACCATAATTTGTTCGTTACTGGTGCAGTAAATGCATTTTTTTTATGTCGTGAAGTAGATATATTTCATAATATGACCGCTTTCAATGCCAGCAATCAACTGTATGGATCTGAATTGATCGCAGAATGTCGTCGAAATATTGCACAATATGATTCAAATGGAAGTCTTATTAAAATCTTTATATTCATATTAGCTTTTTCAAGTAGTTGCTCAATTGTTAAATATGATAATCAAGTAAATATTACAATTATGTCAAGCTCTATCAATCTTGTTCGTATTCAAAATGTATATGCGACAATGTTGTGGAAATATTTAGTTTATCTATATGGATTTAAAGAAGCAGTACCTAGATTTACTCGTCTTGTAAAGAATGTTCTAGACTTAATTCGTATATTAACCTGGATCACTCCAAATGAAACTCGTGACCTTGTAGTTGATTCAATTGTAACAGAAACAGGGCGTGCATTGGTGATAGCTGACTGATTCAATACTTTTATTCAGGTTTCCACATTGGTTACATATGTGTTTGATGTCAATGCTTTTTGTCATCATAAATAATGAAGTTTTGTGGAAAAAAAATGTCGATAATTATCAATGTAGTGCACTCGTCAGTATTGTTATATATTAAATAAACCTAAACTGAAAGAAAGCAAAGAACAATTGTGCATTAAAGAAAAGAATATAATGAAGAGAAATGTGGAATAATATTCGATCGAAAAAAGATCAGGAAAAGCAGTTTTTGTTATTAAAAAAGAACTTACAATAGAAAAATTCACGCTGAAAAGCAGGCAGTGCGATATTCTTCAACTTATCGAGAAAAATATGATATTTAATGAAAGCATCTCTGTCAATCATAGAATTTAAGTGAAAAATTGTGAACTGTATGTTATTTGATGTGTGTCAATTCAGTTCGTTTCTACAACGTAATTTGAATAGTTGTTGATAGTTTCCGCGAAAGAAATTTAATGAAACGGATGTTTTGATACCAACTGTGAGAAAGACGTTATTTTCTGACCTAAAAACATCGTTTCATTTAAACGTATTTAGTCGTATCTTTGTTTAATTGTGAAATAACACCGCTGAGTTTTTTGTATTTATTATGCGCTATTTCTTCGCAACCAATGTTATATGAAGCGTTGTTCAACTGTATTCAGTAGTTTGTGACTGAACACGTTTATTTATTTTCTTCCACTGAAAATGTCATTTTTTATTCAGAAACGTGTGAGAACGGTGACTTTCGAATGCGTTTTCCTTCAGAAAAAAATTAGCTACTTCACGTATAAATAAAAAAAGATTTGGATTAATATTTTGATTAAAATTACCTTTTCACGAAATGAGCACCTGTTGACGTTTAGACAGACATCTCGCAGCATGATACTCAAAAATAGATGACTTAAATAGATATATGCTAAAGATAACTGTTTCTCCTATAGCATACTAGAATGTCTTGGAATATTATTAGGGAAAAAATAATTGTGGAAGAGAAAGGATGAACACATATGAATAGAAGAAATTTACTTCGATTAAACAAATCTCTTGAGCTAGTTGGAAAAGCTACAAGTAAGATTATATCCAGGTAACAGTCATGTTGAATTATTTCCATGCAACAAGTCATAACGTTTTTTCAATTTTCACTCGAAATTTTTAGTGATCTATACTAAGAGAATTATCTTTATCATATTGCCAATTTATTCAAAGAGATTAGGTTTGAAAAGAAAAAAGATTAATGCCTGTTTGTTTATCACCTTCACTATAGTTTACCCAAATTTTAGCTTAGTTTTTGTTTTCCCATTATTGTCTCACTGCACAGTTTGCCGAAAAATACTTGTTGTTTTCTTCTAAATAAAAACTCTGGTATATGCACTTATAAATAATCTATTCTTTTGATAATCAATACATTTTAACAAATGAACAATTTTTCATTCTCGGTAAACATGATAAGTGAGTAATACTAATAATAGTCATAATTTTTCATTTTTATCGTCTTGTGCTTTTCTTTGTATTTTTTTCTATCTTCTTTTCCTTCGACAATGAAATTAACTTATTGTGGAAATGTGTCATTTCTCTTTTTTTTTATGTATCTTATCTATCATTGATGACTCCATAAATGTCATTAAGAAATGAGGTCAAAAAAATATGGGATATATGCAAAACTGCCCTTGGATATGTGCTTTCATGAACATTTTTTCTGTCTATGAATTAAAAACGTTTTCTTTAGATGAATCTCCATTGTTTCTTTACAATATTCAAAATTATCTGTTAGATAGCGCTCATAAAGATAAGTAATGCTTGCGCATGTTACTCAAAAGTGTTAAATGTCACACAAGCAAAATTCAGACGGGTTAATCAAATAAACAAGAAATAATAATAGAGCATTTGTCTCATGAAAGTGTTTTTTGTATGTTGATGTGCATTTCATGTTAGAAATATTACAAGAGGTAATACTATGGAAAAAGATGACGAATTGAAGCAAACTAATAAAAGAATATACCTCAATTTCCGTTCGAAAATTACATTCGAGTTGGCTAATTTGTTGACTCATCTACTCAAATCTCAGTCATAATTATAGAGCATTAAGAGCTATCAGTCATCCACACAACACTAAGGTTTGAACTTAAAAATTAAAAAAATGAGTCTTCCATTAAAAAAAAAACTACAATCTGTAGCATTAGTATTCGTGAGCAGCATTGAATGTTCTCGACGTGCGCAACTTCTCGTTCAGTGCTCAACTTAGAAATCTCTACAAACACAATAATGAAATAGTTCTTTGCTCAAGCATCGGTCATTAGAAAGAAAATTCGTCAATTAGATATCTATCAATAGAAAGCGAACTTTTCTTTCAGCATATGATCTTGGTACATTTTTTAGACGTGTGTAAACCAAGACAGTACACTGAAAAATCATCTCTATTTTTGATGAAATTCCTTAACAAAACTCCCTTATACTACATACTGCTCGCTTATATTCGTAATTTTCGCAATAAAAATGACTGCACCGCATAGTACTTAACAAGCTCCATCGAACACACCCATTTTGGGCATAGTTCGATTTGATGTTCGCATCTGTTTATCTTGGAATACTGCGTTATGCAATTTTATTAGTAGCTGAAAGCCATGATGTTTTTAAACCATTCACCATTTTGCACTGTTTTTATTCATAAATGTGTACATCTTTGAATATTTTTAAAATTAGCACCGTATTCTGAACAAAATGGAGTATTTAGTTTATCAAAACTTTAACTTTGAGTTTTTTCGGAAATTCTCGAGTAGAAAAAATCGACAAATACTTTTCGTTAGATTCTAGAGGAAAATAAAGTTTCACACAGAATTCGATGCTGATCACGAATATCTGGTTTATGTTAACTTTTTTTGTTTTCATCTTGGTCTGAATTGTGATTGTCGAAAAAATGATGAAACTCCGTAACGAAGACTATTTCTAGTTGGTCATTTACTGCCGTTACGCTTGTTAAGAAATTATCTAATGTTTTCAAAAACTTGTTAAAAACTGAACAACTTCGAAATAGACAGTTTATCTGTAGGTCGTTTCATTTCTTAGTAAACTGTGAAATCTTCAGATGCATTTAAAAAAATTCATTGTTTGCGATTCCGTAACGGCCGGTATTTTTTGAATAGCTTAGTTCTAGCTAAAGGAAAATCGATGAAATTTTCATCAACAATCGATTTAAATGGTGTCTATTTATAATTAACATCTCAAACAATTTGCTTTTACCATTGAAAAAGAATAAATGTTACAATATAAAAACATGAAATTAAGCAATGCTTGGTCATGCCATATATCAACTACTTATATTGACACTGTAACAAGTTTGAAAAGATCATATTTTTTTTTCTTTTTTCTATTCGTTTATCTGGATCAGTTATTTTATCATATTTACACCATTCCACTACACGTTCCAAGTAACTTCTTTGCTAAAAATTCTAAACATTTCACAATAAATATATTGTAGTTAGTAAAGCAAAAGTTGCATTATAGTTAGCACGTTCAAGCGCTTTATTATACTCGAACAAAAGGCTAAGTATTAATGAATAAAAGTTGTATTTACATGCCAACTATGTATCGAAATTTTGCTGCACTGTTAACCAAATATCTTATTTGGATTCATTAGAATGTTTGGAATAGATGTTATTGAGAAATGTGCTATAGAATGATGTGAATATGAAAAGTAATTAATATAGATGAACGAATAGAAGGAGAGTTTTTAAGGAACATAATCTGTTATTACAGGAATAAAACATATCATACGAAACACATTGTTCAACGGTTTATTTGCGTTTTTAGTGAAAAACACGCGTTTAAGCACACAAGCTTTGCAATCTTTTTATGGATTTCGGCGATTTAATAATAAACCAACAATGCATGAAATCATCAGCATGAAATTGTTTTCTTCAAATTAGACTTTTTTCTAGTTTCGATTTGTATTACATGGAGATATTCTACTAACTCCATGAGATGAAAAACAATCGTACAAAATAATTAGCAGTGAAATATTATTCAATTTGCATTGAATCAAGAGCAGAGTCATATAAAATAGACAAATCCGACCGTTCTTAAACTTGTTACATTCATGTATCATTAGATCCAGCATATAATACTCAATCGTTTCGTAGTAATTACAAATCGATTCGATAATGTCTAAATTAATAAGAACCCAAAATACTACTGTTAGTTAGAGGGCTGCAGGGTGCAGGATTTTTATAACCTGTAACCTGCCCTGTAAATTTTTTGTAACCTGATCCTGCCCTGCCCTGTGAATATTTTTGCGGACCCTGCCCTAAAACTTTCTAATGTAACCTGTAACCTGCCCTGCCCTGCCCTGCTAATTTTAAAATAGAGGAATATCCAAAATTTCCTATCAGTATTTATAGTACATTTAATTGTGTGTACTTCANCTAATCAATTCTTTTCGCAGGGTGTGGGTGTGGATTTTAGCTTTGTAAGATCCACATATCCACACCCATCCACACTCATCCACACCTGTACCTACACCCATACCTCAAACCCACACCCACACCCCATTTTATACATTAAATATCGGAGAACAAAACCTACAAGTAAAAAAATTTCTTATGCTAAAACTAAATTTTCAGCAAAAGAATTAATTGACTCTGACGGCGACTCCGAAAACGACTCCGTGCAGGTCTTTAGTGTGGGTGGGTGTGGGGTGTGGATGTGGGTGTGAGGTATGGGTGTAGGTACAGGTGTGGATGAGTGTGGATGGGTGTGGATATGTGGATCTTACAAAGCTAAAATCCACACCCACACCCTGCGAAAAGAATTGATTAGTTTAGACGTAGTATAAATCATATAAAACAAAGACATTTGAATAATCAAAAGAAACAGTTATTAATGGTAAGAGTAAAATTTATCACGAGTACAGACATAATTACATATACATAAAGAAAAGAAAAAGTAACTTTCAATAAAATACATTCAAACTAAAAACAATTTACTTTATGGATTACAGAAAAGTTGCAAATAGTAGAAATAATTCATAAGCAAAAGTACAAAAACACATGTGTAATGTTGGTGAAATGAAAGTCAATATTTCTATGGTGACAATTAAGAGTCATATGGCAAAATATAAAAAATGTGTTCTACTATCACACAATGACTAATTACGTTGGACTGTCGAAATAGTTATCACAATTCAATTAAAATTGACATAATTGTATATTTCAATAAATTATCTTGGAAGCTATTTTGAAAAGTTTAATGGAATAGTATCAGAAGCATAGAAATAAACTTTATTGTTGGTGCTTATCAAGTATTTCTTTTAATATGCTTCTTTCGTACTGTACAGTTTTTCCTCTAATCTGAATTAACTGTCTAATTAGCCCAGGCAATCTTGAAACACTATCAGCGTCTTCTGCAATACTTTCCTTGATAATCAAATGAAGTCGACTTTGAAGATGTATACCTAACTTAGCTTCTGTTTCTGGTAAGATTTTTTGACTTTCATCAACTAATTTATTCGTAAGTTTATATGTCATGAAGCCTTTTGTAAGGTAGTATCTAGATTCAAGTTCTCTGTAAATTTGCTCGGATTTTGCTTTATCTTGATGGAAATAATCTCTGTCAACAACAGCAACACATTTTTTTATCACACTGATTTCTTCCGTATTATAATGACAATCTCCATTAAATAATCGAATAATAGCTATAATATTATTAATTTCATCTTTTGGTACTAATGTAGCATTTGTTGGAACCATAGTCGGACCATTTACATCATCAATATGAACTAGACTTACTTTAGGATCCTTTTTTTCATAACATAACTTAACAAGATGTTGAGCTTCGAATATAGAAACAATAATAAAACACACTTCTTTATCCTTTCTAAGAATTAATATCATGTTAACTGGTTTCAAATAATCGTTTTGGCATTGTTTATTTTTATCATCTATTGCTTCAATAGTTTTGATGAAATTATCTGTTGCGAAGACTTTACCATGCCATTTTAATTTTTTCAGACCATCAATGTCGGTAAATTCAAAACACTTTTTTAATTCTTTTAGTTTTGGATAGCCATTTTCTCCTCTGAATGCTCTATCTTGAAAATTTTCTCCAAAGATCTTATCAAAATCCCAAGTAACTTCTGGTGGCGGTGCTGTTTTCGGTACAGGAGCAACTTCAACACGCTGCATTTCTTCAATCTCTCTTTCATTTTCTTGATCATTATCCATATCAGCATTAATAGTTAATATACTCTTAGGAAGTTTTTGATCTACTTTTTCTAACATTTCTTTCATTTTCGGTCTATCGATATTTTCATCTATATCAATCTCTTTAATCAAGTCTTTAGATTGCCCTTTCTCTTCTAGTTCACTTTTTACAAGTGGATAAAATCCAGTTAAATACGCTCCCATATTTCGGTTTAAAACATCTCTCGGATTTCGCTTCTGAGGAGTAGTACCATATGACTTTTCTATGCTATCCAAACTTCCACTTACATATGCTATAATAAGAGAATTCATAGGAATCTCTTTAACTTTCTTTTGATATTCAAGTGCTCTACTTTTGACTACATATTTTAATTTCTCTTTCATAACAAGATATAAATCATTTTCATTTTTTTGAATTGTATTGTAAGTAACCCATGTTATAACATGTTTACTTGTTATATCGTCTATATTAATTCCATTTATTATTGCAATTTCTGCTGAAATTTCTTTCGAACCCCATAACACAATCGATTGCTTAAAGTCAAGATCACGAAGACGCATAACTGCTTGCATAAGTTTATCTTTGTTCATATTCTTTCCTAGTGTTACAATTCCATGCGCAGTTAGTGGTAATTTCAAATCAGTTCCACGAGTATGAACTTCATCCAAATAAACAAATAATTTCTTGTTATCAATATGACACGCTGATAACGGTAAATATTCGTTATTTCTTAGAATAACCATTATTTTATTAGTCTTATCAGAAAAATAGACAACTCCATCGAATCTTTTATCAATATTCTTAATAAGATATTTAGATGCATCAAAATTACTCATTTCGGTAACAATAGCACCTGCATCAATTAAAATATAACAATCCTTCGTCATCTGGGCATATTTGCAAACTTGATCTAAAAAGTTTACTGTACTAGATATTTCTAACTTTGACTCGTATTTTTTATTTATTTTTCGTGATAAAATATGTAACATCTTGCCATTGGTTCCTAATTGAGATGCTAATCGTTTTGAAACAATAGATTTAGGCATTGTATCATTACGATCATCAGTACCAGAAAATCCATTGGTTTTTTCTTCACCTGCCAATGTGTGAGCATTTCCTGTTAGCTTTTTCTCGTAGTATTTTGTATCATTTGGAAACGTGAAATTACTTAAATAATATTGAATAAAGGTAAAGTTTCGAGAAAGATAAAGATGAGCCTTTTTAATTCTATTTTCACTCTCAAGATCAAGAGTCGTGAATGATTTTAACCATTCTGGAAATGGTTCATTTTCTTTCTTAATTTGTTCATAAATCCATTGTTCATTTTCTTTAACTATTTGTTTTAATAAACTATCTCTATCTTGTTTAGGATCACTTTTTAATTTAATTAATCCATCTTTTACTTGTTTCACATCTAATCCTCTATATAAATAACTAAGAATTGTAAAACCTATCATAATATCAGGATGACTAAATTCTGAATTTTCCGATGGTAAATCTTTTCCTCGAAATGGAATAGCAATTTCTTTTTCCTTCTTTTCTGACAATCCATATTCAACTCTATAACGATAACTCATAACATGATAAAGTAATTCATGAGATAACCAAGCTTTTGCTAATAAAAAACTATTTAACATGTCTTGACTTTTTACTTTCAATAATTGAATTATTTTTTCCTCCACTGAGAAATATTTTCCTGCAACAAAGTCCTCATAAGTTCCGTATTCTTCACCTTTATCATCAATTATTTTAGTTTTTTTTTCCTGAAATCTTAAGAGTAATATTTTACAAAGTTCTTGAGAAAGATTTGATCTGATATCCTGTACAAAATATTCATGTTTGATAAAACGGACAAGTGGACTTCCTCCACCAATTCCACTAACTGGCTTAAAATTATTTTGAAAAATAACAGGACAATCACTTCTTTGAGATGCTGCTTTTAGTATGTCACCAAAACTTTTTTCATAAAAAATAATTTTGAATAGTAAAAATGGAATTTCCCAACGAATTGCACCACCATCTAAAGGTTTAGCTAATCCTAATGTATAATTTAATTCTTTTCCATGACGTAAGATTTCATCAGATTCATCGAGTATATCAAAGAATTTAAATTCATCAATCAAATAAAGTAATTCAAGCTTTTGTTTACGTTGTGTTTTAAGTTGTGTTGATTGATCTCTTAGAATGTTGTAAGCGTGACTAATGCTAAAAAAAACTGTTTACGTTATTTTTTTGATATACTTCTGAATAAAATTTCCCGATTTCTTCAGAAGGAAATTTCACTATTTTATCTTTATCATCAATGTATCCCAATGACTGTAGTGTTTGTTTTAGAGTGCTTTGGGATTGTGTTAACTCATACGATGCATTAGGATTCATTATATAATAATATGTTCGACGATAATGTTCCTTCCAATTAAAAAAATCATTTGCGTCTTTTGACTGTAGATATTCTAAAAACATTTCTTGTTTTTTTAACTGAAAACATAAACGCTGTTCAGGTGTTACTAACAGAATATGTTTTCCATTCTGACAATCAGTAAGCATATCTTTAATTTTTTCAAGATTTTCTATTGAAAATACAACTCCTCTTGAAAATGGCATAACATATTTTCTTTTGTAATAATCCACTAAATTTATTTCTTTATAATTCCTGCATAACACCCATTAGTGACTCTAAACAGTTTATTCTAGCAATCTGTTCACCATTAGCTAACATTTCACTCAATATAATTAGAATAACTGATGTTTTACCTTCTCCCATGTTTAACTGATAAATACTATTGTCTTTTTCTTCCATCATTGTCTTTATAAGAGAATATTGAGTACTACGTATTAAAAGATTATTTTCTGTCTCAACCAATAGCCAAGATGGATACACTTTCTTGTCATAACTTCTTTCCATTAAAATGTTTGTAAAAATATTTTCTAAGATTCTATCTCTTTCATCTTTATCATTTATTGAATCTAATGATTTATATTTTGAAATCATTAAAGTCACTCTTTTTATTTGTTGAATCAATACTTCTTGAACTAAATAACATTCGATTTTTTCATAAAATTTATCTTTATGATTCATGATAAAAGGATTCCAATCTTCAATCTTGTCGATATCTTTTAACAAGCATAGAATTTCTTTCTTTATTGGAACAGGTTTTTCCCTCATGATTCGATGGAAAACAAATATATTCGCACTTTCGGATGCATTTGTAATTAAACTAATATTTCGACGTATTTCTTCTAACAGTTCTGCATTCGTTTTCTCATATTCCAAATAATACTTAAGTAAAACATCAGCGATTCTATTTATATCATATCCGGTTTCTAAATGAATTTCGTTTCTTGGTGTTTGTAAATATCCGACAACAGTTGAGTTACTTGTAAGTTTTCCTAATATTTTATCATCTTCTATATCTTTTGTTTCTATCTGAGAGAAAGTTTTGTCATTTAAGCAAAATTGAAATTTTTTCGTACATTCGTTACTCGTAAAACTATAGGTTTTTATTAGTTTGAGTTCAAATGTTGGCGTATCTAATTTTTCATATATTGAAACACCGATTTTATTTCTTTGACAATATTAACTTGAAAATAATTGGACTTATGATACTATGTTCGCAGCAATAGTTTAAATACATCTTCAACAGATTATTATTTTTGAGAACAAAATCTTCTACATCTGCTTCAATATCTTCTAAATCTCTAAGCCATTTTCTAGCTTCTCTTTTAAGATTTGAATCACTTTTCAAAGTTTCCAATAATTTTTTAAGCGGTTGTAATTCAACAGGTTCTTGTAGAATATTTTTCTCAATTAGTTCACAGTTAATTTTTTTATATTCATCCTGGAGTTCGGCTTTCATGTCTTTTATTTTCTCTCGTTCAGTTTTAATATTATATTTATCTGAATCTTGGTTTTGAATCCATTGCTCAACATCTAAGAGCAAATGGTTTTTAATTTCCTTCAAACTATCTACTAAACAAGACAATTCTTTTTTATAATCAAGCTCTAAATATTTTAAAACATCAATGCCTTTTCTTGGTTCTCTCATGGAATAAAAAAAAAAATTTTCGTCAATTTTTACTACAGATAATTGTTGTCCATAACTGTCTTCTAAATCAGAAACAAATGTTTTTCCATATCCTTGTGAAAATACTTCTCGAACAAGAGAACCTTCAGGAAGAGTTTGCACATCGAGAGGAAAATGTATGTTTTCTGGATAGTAAGATTTAATATCAAAAACTTTTTGCAGATTATCATAATGCTGTTTTATGTCAATACTTTTGACTTTCGATTCTAAATCAAATACGCAACTTTCAATGGCTTTTGAATATGAATAATTTTTATCAATTTGCTTATCAATGTCTTCAGGAGATAAACTCATATTGAAATCAGATAAACCTGTCGTCTTCATAACAGTGTAACCTATTTTATCTGGATTTGAATTAATGAGTTTGTCACATTGATTGGAAATATCAATAAAAAAGTCATAAAATTCTTTATTTCTACTTTTAGTAATAAGATTGTTATATATGGTGTTTGGTACCTGACTAGCAATATCATAGACCTTCTTTTGCTTTAATATTGTTTCAATATTGCTTTGGAATTTCAGTTTAAATTCTGAATGTATCATATCTTTTACACTAAATTTAGATTCTCCGTCTTTATTCAGATACTCCTTGTTCAAGACTGACCAAATGGAACTTTCTATTTCCTTATTATAAGCATCACTATTAGAAATCTTTGGAATATCACTTTTAATATATTTCATCGATTCACAATAAAATCCGTATCTTTGATCATCATTAATTTTATTTGTTTGTGACAATAAAAATTCAGGTAAAAATTTAAATTCTTTTGGAAAGATAGAAACTATGTAAAGTATACTTATAAAAATTCTACTATCCTCATCCTTATATGTTTTCAAAAACAAATATGTTAAAAAATATAAAAAATTTTCTTTGTTAAAATCATTAATGTTTTCTATGTCCGAAGCCATTTTGTAAAGAAAAAGAAAGTTAGACAATTCAAATTTTATGCTAACCCAATCACTAAATAGATTGCTAACACTACAAATTTTATTATTGAAGGAGTTATAAGAACTTGAAAATTTCTTTGCCAAAAATGTCTTCACTTGTTCCTTAAATTTAAGTTGTTTAACCCTCCGTAGACGTTGTCACTTTGAAACTTTATGGATGTTGTGGGGTCCAAGTGGACCCACCCATAAAAAATTGTAGCAAATCGATACTTTTGTTTTGAATCATCTAGTCATTTATGTACTATAACCCTCTAATTACGCTACTCACAAATAGGTGTGTTACGTTCAATAAAGAATATCCAAAAGAGTACAATATCGAAAAAGAGTGATTGATGCATTTTTTCAATAGAATAGTAGAAATAAGCTCGTATACCGACATACATAATGAATAGAGGTGCGAAGAAAAGGCATTCGTTCCTTTTTCAATAGCTTTATTTTTATCTTTTTCTTTTTTCCATGGTTAAAAAAATCTACAAGAGTAGTTTTTCTGACACGATGAAGATTTTACTGTTTTTGATTTTTATGGTGATTTGAAGAAGTTGTTTTTAGTTCTTCTCTTGACATTTTTGGCAAGTGACCGTAGTAATTCTTGTAGAATGAGAAAGACAGACATTGTTTCTGCAGTCATAACAGGATTGTCGTACTTTTCTTCCAGGCTTCGATGGACACAAATAACATCTTTTCTTTGATGAATTCAAATGAACATTTACTTTCGAATTCTGAACATTTTCTGATCGAAGTTTGTAGCCGAGTGATAATAAAGCAAGTTTCACTTTTGGCTTGAGACGTGATTGCTGACTATGTCTTTGATTTTGCTCATCAGTTAGAGCAAAACTCAGTTGTGATAAAAATAGACGGCGAGTATTGGTTCTTCCATTATTCCAGTCAGAATTTTGACACAACCAAATTGTCATACTATTGATTGCGGCAATATCTATCATATTGTAAAACACGTACATCGGCCATCGTCTATTTATTCGTCTGACTGTGTAATTTCCAATACATTGATCAATGACATCAACGCCATATTTTGTTTGATTATAATCATGAACTGCACATGGTAGCTTTTTATCATCATCAAAAACTTCAGGTTGATTGTGTGATGAAGATAATATAATGATGGGCTTTTTCTTCTCTTTGGCTTGATAGGATAAAACCATGTGTTGTCTTGAAAAATAAAACCATGTTGAATATGAGTTTCTACGACATAGTTTCAATTCATCAGGTAAAAACGATCGCCTGTGCTCGACAACACCAATAGACGTCATTTTTCTATCTAACAAAGCGTCAGATAATTTGATATCTGTGAAATATCGATCAAATGTAATACATCGACCTTGTTTGACGTTGTTCGGCAAACGATCGATTAACTTAAGAACAACATCAGTTGCAAGATTTTTCTGGATATTGTTGTTCTTTTTTCCAGTATATAGATCAATCGACAATACATATCGACTATCAACATCTGGCAATACCCAAAATTTTAGCCCATACTTAGCCGGCTTGCTTGGCATGTATTGCACAAAGCAACAACGACCTCGAAAGGGCACTAATTGCTCATCAACAGTTAAATTTTCACCAGGTACAAAATATTTAGAAAGCTGTTTGGTAAAAATATCAAATATATATCTAATGGGGCCAAGACGATCAGATTTATCACGAGTTTCTCCATCATCAAATCGAATAAATTGCAGAAGATGTTTGAAACGTTGAAGAGACATTGTGGCACGATATAAAGGACAACTTTGGCTGATGTCCCAAAGATCATTAAGTAATTCATGATTACTTCGATGTACACCAGATTGAATCAATAATCCAATAAAAGATTCTAATTCTATACGATCAACTGGTTTCCAAAAATGTGAATCTGATCGTATGTTATTAGAATCTTGTCGTGGTCTAATCTTTTTATCATAATATCGTTTAGCATAAAGATTTGTATGAAGAACAATTTGTTCAAGCATTTCATTTGTAAAGAAAAGTTTAAAAGCATCAAGAATTGTCTGAATTTTAATAGTAGGACCAGACTTTTTTTTCATCACGTTAGCAGCAGCTGTACGGCTTTGTTCTAAGTTTGGATACATAGACCATGTGACACCATTCTTTTTTAATGTTTCTGGTTGACTAAGTGTAACAACATCACCATGTTCAAAATCAGAATTTGATAAATCAGATTCTTCTGATATATGTTCACTATTAGATGTATCATCTGATTCAGTTGCAAGAAAATCAGAGTCACTATCTGAATCAGAACCTTGATTATCATTAACATCATTATTAATTCCATTTTCATCTGCTAATAGAATATCTCGAATTCGTTTTAAATTTGACTTAGGTATTGCGCTCATGCTATATAATAACAGAAAAAGTGAAAATGCATGATATAGTTTAATTTTCTCACATGTTTAGAAGAGTTAATAACAGATTCAAGCAATCACAATAAGTAGACAAGTAGCAGTAGACAGAAATATATTTTTGATTTTGGAAATAGTTACGAGTTCGAATTTCACTTTATACGAAGAAAGGATGAATCATTAGCACTATAAATGAATGTGGAAACAAATCATAACACATCTGTTTGGAAAACAATTGAAAGAAAATAGATGGCAGCTTTAGTAAGACAAAAGATCATACTTATAACACAATGGCTGTTCTCGGGTCCACGCGGACCCACCACTGTATTCCTCCCGCCGTAGAGCTACTTCTGACAGCTAGTGAGGATATTATGGGTCAACTAAGGATTAGAGATTAGGGAAATGAAATGACCCAAAACAAAAAAGAGTGGATAATTAGCAGTGGGAAAATTGTTAGATGGGTCCACGTGGACCCCACAACGTCAACGTAGGGTTAATAGTAATGAAACTACAGGTGAAAAATCAGACAGCATTATAGCATACTATTATTTTTTTGAATAACCGAGTCTTCGCAGTCCGGTCTCACTTTACTACCAAACTGAACATCATACAAAATGCCAAGAAAAATAAAGAGAAAAACGATCGAATACTGTACGATCACTAAACAGTATCACTGGCGGATGTTGACTAAAGTCAATTGCAACTAAAAATTTTGAATTAAACATAAATTTTGACTAACTATGAAGGAAGATGGAAGAAGGGACCAGTTGAGAATCAATTTAGAACGAGCTAGTTGTGCAAGGAACGAATATGGGACAAGCCGGGAGTAAACCAAATAATAGATCAATTCTGTTAGATCTTTTTTTCTATTAATCATGGGTAGTTTCTAAGTTACACAACTATCTAATAACTTGAAGTTGAATAAATTTCTTGTTTTAGTCCATTTCGATGGTCTTATCTTATTTTATATCACGCAAATAACTATTAATTTGATGAACGATATAAGTATGATTGAAATACTTGTATTATCTCAAGCACACTTGTTGTTAAAGAAAATTCCAAGAAATGCAAAATATGAACAGTAATATCGAGATGATGCTATATAATCTTTTTTTTCCTTTGGTTCGATGGATTAACCGATACCATATATATGTGTTTTTTTTTGTGAAAGAGTTTCGAGTTGATTGAAACAGTTTGACACTAACGAGGGAAGGTCATCAACTGGTCAATCGCTTTTGAGTGAAGACTAAGCGCCTTATGTAGACTCAGATGAGCTATGGAAAACCTAATGAGAGTTCGGGCAGTTAGCTTATTGTTACGGACATACTGCAATTTTATGGTATTGTTTTTAATAAATGCTGTGACCCCCCACCTCCCCCTCAAGAATACCAGAAAACCTTACTTTCGAATTTCGACTTGAAATTTCACATAGAGATAGATATTGATAAGAATAGTTTATTGTAGAAGTTTTAGGCCTTTTCATTCGCTTCTATTCTAAAATAAGGCCATCAAATCTGCTGGTTAATATACGCTATGTAAAATACACGCTATTATCATAGTTCTATCTTAGAATAAGGACAACAACAAAGTTTGAAGCACTCATAATAAACTATTCTGATCAAGATCTATCTCTGCAAATTTTCAAGTCGAAACTTGAAAGTAAGGTTTTCGGTTTTCCTGAAGGGGGCACTGCGTTTATTTAAAAGATATCGTAAAAGTGTAGTATCTCCGTAAGAATAAGCTAACTGCTCGAACTCTTTCTAGGTTCTTTCGATTCTACATAACGTTCATAATCTCTATTCAAAAGCGATTACATAGTTGATGATTTTCCTTTGTAAGTTTTTTTATGACTTTTTTTCTATTAGCTAAACAAAACATTCATTGTATTACTTTGCTTTATAGTAAAAACACAATTGAAAATAAACTATAAGTCAATGAACGGAAAGGTAGCAGAGAATTGGAGGCTAGCATGCTAAAATAATACCTAGTGGTTTGCAAAAAATTGACTTTCTGATTAATTTTTGATTAAAAAAAAATTCTGATCATTGTGTGATTTTGAGGCAACAATTTCTGATTTTGTGTATATCTTGGTTCTTGTATCATATGAGATTTTTGTCATTCTTATGTACATAAGCATTTTTTTTATTTTCAAACGAGATAAGACCTGCCTTATCTCATTCGACAAACAATATTTGCGACTATTGTGGTTGCATTGTGCCTGAAACTGATGCAGATACAAACGAAACAAGAGTATCGTCCTTTGGTTCACTATTCGCCTCGGACGAATTGGATGAACGATCCCAATGGATTGATTTACTATGAGAACGAATGGCATCTCTTCTATCAACATTATCCTCTGGAACCTCAGGCTAAAAATATCCATTGGGGTCATGCTGTAAGTAGGGATATGATTGCATGGACAGACTTACCTATAGCATTGACACCGGATGATGAGAATACTGGTATATGGTCTGGTTCAGCTGTAATTGATTGGAATAATGTAACTGGTCTTCAACAGATATCAACCGTACATCCAATGATTGCTATCTATACATGGCAAAAACGAGGTTGGCAGGAACAACATATGGCTTACAGTCTCGATCGAGGTGAGCTAATGAATAGTGAGAGATCTCTCATCATATCCATTTTATCTATAGCTCTCGAGAAGAGAAAAGGAGCCGCGAAATTCAAATTTTTTCGATGGCTGTCAACCTTTTATCTTTGCTCGAAAGTTTTTTGTGTGTCTAGCGCTCTTCTGTCGTGGACAAGGATTGCGAGCGATATAAAGTCAAAGCTATGCATATTTTAGGACGAACATGGACCAAATATCCTTTAAATCCCATTATTCCGTTGGTTGCCGATATCACACAACAAGATAACGTAGAATTGAATCCGTCCGAAATCGTTTTCCGTGATCCCAAAGTACTATTTCATAGACCAACTGGTTCATGGGTTTTGGTTATATCAGGTGGTAATCATGTGCAGTTTTACACTTCGAACGATCTTATTCACTGGTCGTTGAGTTCTCGTTTCGGTCACGAGGATGGTTCTCATGCAGGCGTTTGGGAATGTCCAGATCTCATAGAGTTTTCCGCGACGACATCGGATAATCAGAAGCTTTGGTTGCTAATCGTATCAATTAACCGAAATGCAGTGGCTGGAGGTTCGGGTATGCAATATTTTGTGGGCACATTTGACGGTCGAACCTTTAAAAATTTACAAACAGCAAATACTATTCGTTGGCTTGATTATGGACCAGACTTTTATGCCGGTGTCACTTACCATAATGTTCCTCGATTCGATGCACGACAAATCATGGTTGCATGGATGAATAACTGGCAGTATGCACAAAGTCTTCCAACCGCACCGATATGGCGCGGTCAAATGACTGTTCCTCGTCAAATTGAGCTCAGTTTCGATGCTCTTACAAATGCCTATCATGTACGACAGTCACCTGTTCATGAACTCTATTCACATTCGAAAAAAATAATTACATTGTCCCGACAAAATTTGACTTCAGAAACACCAAACATTTTAGCTACAATGTGCAGTGATACATTCATGATTTGGGCCGAATTTCATCGCGTGACACCAACTACTGTAGTCATTCTGCAAGTACGAAAGAGTTCAGATGGAAGTGAATATACTGAAATTAAATATATGGCCGATAAAAACCGGCTCGAATTGGATCGATCACACTCTGGTAATGTCGAATTTCATCCACTCTTTCACACCCATTGCAGCGTAACGCTGGATAATGAAACGTTCAGCACGGGCATACTAAAATTGCAGTTGATTGTTGATCGATGTTCTGTGGAAGTCTTTATCAACGGAGGAAAATACACGATGACAGCACTGATCTTTCCGCTCTTGGATAGTCATCAAATGGAACTTTTCGTCAAAGGACCAGAGATTACGTTGGACTCTTTGGAATGCATGTTTTTTTGAGATTAGAAATCTTTTTTTTGTCAGTCTTTCATGCTCTATTTTGACATTTAATTGTATCTAACACGCTTGAAAATGACGTATATTAGGCGAAATTAAAATTATTACATGTCGTCACTGTACAGTTCAAACTGATATAAAGTATCAAATGTATTTCACATAGAATCTTACAACATATCTTCTGTCAGAATAGAATTCTGCAATATCAATATAAAAGAGCCCATGGAGTACCAAGAGCACAATGAATATGATTAGTCATGTACAGTTTTGGCAGTGACATACAATGCTCATTAAAACTAACGGATAATGCGAAAGTTTCTAGGCAACATGTTTTTTCATTTGTCTATCAAGCACAGGTGTAAGCAGAAAATTGAAAGCATTGGGTTATGACCAGAGTTTTATTCTCCCATCGAACATCTGTTCAGAATCCGTATGAGGGTCATCGGTTACGAATTCTAAATAAATGTTTGAAAGACCTGAAAAAAAGTCTGGACGAAAGTAGTTGAACTAACACACCTAGAAATGGCAAATCTGATCGTGCTCATTGAAAACTGTATGTGGACTATTTTTATAGACACTGTCTTATTTTTTGTCATGAAGTTACCCATTTTAGTTTAGTCCTAATGTCTCTTGCTTGGCCGCATCATGTTCTAAATTTTTTCGCATCGTCATCTAGACAACGTATGCCTTTTCCAGCAGTGATACTCTTATTCAATACCTTCTACTATCGATTTTTTTGCATAGTGTAAAGAGCAAGATAGTCCTCTGCAAAGTGAGTTAAGCATCGAAGGTATCGCAGAAGTTCTTCAGAAATAATCAAGCTGACTTTGTATGTCTGAAAATCAAGAAGTCTCAATGACATTAATGTATCTTTTTACTGAAAGCTTTATAAGATATGGCTTTGCTCAGATATGTTAGTTCTTTATTTTAGTGTATTTTTAATAAATTTTACTTCTACCCTGGATAGTCTTTTTGCCCTTTGAAACGCGTTCAAACTTTATGTTTGCGATTTTCGAAGATTTCCGTATGATTCTTAGCCTATGAGTCTCATACAAATTGTGAATATATGTTCGGAAAGGGGAAAATTTCTGAATCTATCTCAATGTTTTAAATTTTCGACTGACTCCCATAATCAGTCAAAAAGTGAAGAAAAATGGTGTATAGAAACTTTCACATCATTTGTTAATAGGATGCACGAATGCTTGATCAATCTGACGTGCCAAATGGTATACTAATACAATACATAACAGAAGTTTCGACTCGTCTTGGGTCGTTTTGTTCACAGCTTTGTTGTCCTACTGATCGATGTACCAAAACGATACAATGTATTCAGTTTCATTTTTCTTGTTGAGATATTCACTGTACATGTCTTTGAATGAATGATCGCTTTCCAGTCTCAAACATATGGGCGTGACCAACCGACATGAAGCCCTAATCGTTATTGAACTATATAGCTTCAGCCAGATATCAGAAAAAGATGATTTTTTCACAACTTATAGCACATATATAATGCTAATGATCTGTTATTATTTGAGCTCTGTATCTCACTATAAAGAACAGTTCCCCAATATATCTTGTCATCTTTCCTTACAGTTAATTTGCATCTAATATGTTAACATACATTAACCCCTACTGAAAATTGTTTTTTACGCAGTACGAAGGTTTACAATGTGTGTATTTAATGCGAAGCTATCTTCAAGAATGTCATGACATTTACGATTCTATTATAGTTCATTAATAACACGGATATTCATGAAAAGAGTTACTGATCAGCAATCAATTCTAAGTTTTAAGCCACAATAACTAGAATCATACACATCTATATTTGCTCAAGAGTGCACCGTGTCTAGCACATACGTATATCGTCATCAGGGAGACACGTGAGGAAGACAACATTCTTTTTTTTCCTTCTTTTTGTTTCGAACACTTCTCGTTCTCGGTGCATATTTCACGCAAGATACTATTTCAGTCACTCTATCGTATATTTGTGTTCCAGCTACATCATCGTCATTCTAACTACGATCGTGTTCTTGTCTTGCCTTCGTTCGTTTTTTTTACAACACATTTCTGTACCATTTTCTCTTCACAAATTGAATGGAGTGGTTCTCAATATCGATCTGCTGCAACTGACCGTCAACAATACTGTACTAATTGTGGCTTGATGTTCATTTGGACATGTATTGGCTCGGAAAAATCTGGTTTATACTCTAATTATCATCGACATCGTGGCAGCTGTAGTTATTGTACTCCAGAATTTGAAAAAGATAGACAATAGAAATTGGAAGAGAAGCGGGTTGCTATTCAAGCACAATTTCAAACCTTAGATAGTAATAAGTGACATTATTTCTTTCCGTTTACAAGCGCCTCCTTATTTCCATTATTTTATACTACAAGAATAGGCAACAATTGATCACTAACATACTCTTTTTGTTTACATCTTGTAGAGCAACGTCCGTGGTCAGAATGGAGTCGTTCTGATGAATCTTATTTACAACATACCGGACACGACGTCGAACAAGTTCAACATTTGTATTCGATGTGTGAACAACCATTTGTAAATTATTGTCGGCATAGAAATCAAGAAGACCCAAACAGTAACATTACGCCATATTTATCTCCTATGAATTTGCTTGTGGTTACATTGTGGTACTTGAAACATTATCACTCCGAACGTTATATTGCTGCAGAGTTCGATCTTAGTCGATCCAGAGTGAATTATTTCTTATCAACGGTTGTGGATATTTTACATTCCTGTGTATATCCAGAATTAGTTTCATTACCTGCTGATATGTCTAACAGAACCGCAGCACACGGACCTGAAGAACATCATAAACTAATAGTTGATTCAAATTTCATCGCAATTCCTCAACCTGATGATATAAATCAACGTAAAGCATATTATCATGCTAAAAGTCCAACAAATTATGCATTAAAAATACAAATATCTTGTGATTTTCGTCATCGAATAGTACATGTATTCGAACGTTATCATGGAAGTGTACATGACATTACAATTCTAAGAGAGTCAGGACTGTTAGAACATGTAAACGATTCTGTGCAAATTATTGCTGACAAAGGATATATTGGTGAAGAATATGTAGTCACTCCAAGAAAGAAACCTCATGGACGTGAATTGACAGATGAAGACAAGAATTTCAATCGTGATATTAATAGTGCAAGAGCAGCTATTGAAAATATTGATCAGCGGCTTAAAACGTATTCTATACTAGGTAGCGTTTACAGAGGAGCTATTGATGACTTGCATAAAATAACAAAAATCGCACAAGTTGTTTCAGCTCTTTGCAATATGAACTTAAATAAACATCCTATTCGTAAATAAAGAACATAAAAAATTGTATTTTCTACAACTACTTGATAAGAAAACTCTTATTGATATTTCATGTTGATTCAAATCTCTCAATAGGAACTAGTGCATGTTAACATATTAGATGGAAATTAACTGTAAGGAAAGATGACAAGATATATTGGGGAATTGTCCTTTATAGTGAGATATAAAGCTCAAATAATAACAGATCATTAGCATTATATGTGTGCTCTAATTTGTGAAAAAATCATCTTTTTCTGATATGTGGCTGAAGCTATATAGTCCAATAACGATTGGGGCTTCATGTCGGTTGGCCACGCCCTTATTTAATAAGGCAATTTTAATGTGATCATGGAACTTTTTCTAAGTGCTGTAAACACTATAAAGGATATTATGAGAAGCAAAGAATATAGTTGGATAGTTATACGCTAACGAAAAAGAGATGAAATGGACATGACGAACATTTGATGCTGTCACTGTTCTTCAAATGAAGATTCATACTACACTGTTGTGTATAGTGTTGATTTTGTGACGTTCGTCGTCGATTAATGACCTATATAAAAAAAAGAAGATAAAAATGATCACTGAGAAATAACTGAATCAACTTGTTGTTTTCATTGATATATGATAATCATAAGTCAAGGATAGGCAATGCCAAATTAAACCTCAACTTGTTTCGGTACACCAATTGGTATGAAACAAAGGGTTTGGATACAGTCATTCGGCTATTAAGCCGAGTTTTGATGTCATGCTTCAACGAAAACACTCAACACCGTTGAACGTGCGATTGTATAGCGTTGCCATCACATGATTGAAATGCTCACATTGACATAGTAATTGGATGTCTGTTTAATCATGTGAAAAGGTTCATTTTCTTGTAAATCATTTCCCGCACCGGGCTATATGTATTCTATTGCCATAGTTAGAGCAAGCGTCATAATTGACTTCGAATGATGAGACGAAAATGAAATTACCCAACAAATGAGCAAAAACATATCATAATAGATTCGAACTAGACTGCTCTAGAGCACTCGAATATTAGCAATGCATTTCATAGTCACAGATACTATTGTTTTTATAATTACTTACCTTTAATTGATGCCGATATCATTGGTAAGACAACTAGTTACATTCTGTCAGTCTCGATTAAACCACTGTTCAGTCGTTAGGATCTCATTCGTTTTGGCGGCGGCAAAAAGTATACCGTGTTCATGACTAGAAAATTCATCAGGCTATATTCATTCTGCATTTTATAATCGAGACAACTAGTAAATCGGCAAAGACTATCTTAATATCTCTTTTTAATTCTCACATATTTGTCATGCATGGCATTGACTATGACTCCATATTCACGTGTATGGCCCTTCGTTGAGACCGCATGAGTAAAGGAAACGCAGACAATATTTTCAATCAATTAATTCGAAAAAGTTTCGCAAGAACAATTCAAAAAGTTTGTTAGTGCAGTCGTTTTGAGACTAAAATGTGGAACTGGCATATGTTCTCGAGCCTCATTAAACTAATACACAAAATATGTAAAGTGAGAGATCTCTCGTCAACTACAGTTGCCTTTCACGATAATCGAACGCCGGAGTAAGAACTTTTTCTAATTTCTGCATTTCGAACAAAAATTGTTTATTGTCTTCGCGCACTCTATTCTATGTTTGCATTGTTACTATTCTCTCATTATTTCTGATTTTTTTAAATTTGTGTTTATTAATTTAACATTTTTATTACTATAATTATTGAATTAATCGGCAAATAAGTCTTCTTTACATATCCATGATACCTACGGCAGATTTTACTTCCTATATGTATATTGATTACCTTACAAACAATCATGTTGGCTATTTTTCAGCATTACAACTTGATGAATTTTGCAAAAAAAACTCTAGAAAATCTGGTGTCTGTTATTCTCGATTGCTATAGTCTGTAATGAATGGCGGAGGAGAGGAAGAGTTACCCAGGTTACTAAGGTTTGTAATGGGGCGGTGGCTACCCTGGTTGCTATGGTCTGTAATGGGGGTCTGCATTGCTAAGTTTCTGTAATAGAGAAGGGTGGGGAGCCGAAAAAACTTGCTCATAAACTTACACTCATCATTTTCTTCGAAAATACATGTGAGTTCCACAAAATAAAACAATAGGCAACATCACGACTGCCACTTTCGTTTTTGAACCTCTTCTCATTGGCAAAGTCTTTGTGGTGATTAGAAACCATTCGATAGTCTAAAACAATAGATTGAAATGCACGATAGAAGTGATTATCGTTCGAATCGAACCAAAAAGAAAACCACATGAAATTGTTGATGTTAACCAGACTATTACGTGATTAATTGTAGGGCTGCAAAAGCTGTTAATCAAAAATATTCTCGTGAAGGTGAGATACACCGCTTTTTTCAACGCCGTGAAAGAGAATGACGGATTTTAAGAACGGACAGAAAAGCATACCCTTTCACCTAAATATTCACAATCCGTCCGAGAAGAAACATTACTTGGCGTTTAGTCGTTCAAAGAGGGTTTTAGCACATCGGACACATCAATCAAGCATCGCATAAGAATGCCTTGCTTCTTGAGACTCGAGTGCGACCCGAAAATGAATGTTCACATCGAGAAAACTGAAACAGGCATGCCAAATTGATCTCTGTTTGATGCATAATCAAGAGCCGTATTTTTGCAGATTATTATGCAATAAATCGTCAGAATGATATAGTGCGGAGAAACAAAGTCCTTTCTTGTGTATATTATTGTCTTTTTCTATTTGTTAGGCAACTTCTTTGGCACTCATTTCTTCTTTGTGATCTATCTGATCACAGGCAAAGATGGTATTATCGGTGCTCGTGAATTTTTGGAAAAGTTGTTCAAGAACGTATTTTGGTGTAATGCGATGTACCAGAAGCACATTGTAAAGAACACAAAAGTCGAACTCTTAGATATGACTAACTTAGATCTGAGTTGTAAATGCTCAAATTTGATGTCAAAAACTTCTCTGCAATCCATATTAAGTATTCATTTGATAGTCTTCGTCAAAACTCAACCTCGTGCATTCCCTTATCTCCTAGCGAGAAGGCAAAAAGTCGCTGCAGCGTTTGAATGTAAATGTCAGATGTGGAATATTAGTCATTGAGGATCTTTACTTCGTCTACATCTCAAAATCCACATCGAATACCGTATCAGTAGTACTCATACGGAAATTTTCTCTACTGTCATCAAATAATATTGACACATTTGCAATGAGCTAAAAGTTTTCAAAGTCAGTCGATAGCGTTTCCTCAAATGCGTCGGAGACTGCGCGTCATAAACTGTCTCTCCATATTCCTACCGATTTCTCCTGATTTTCTGACGATTTTTGCTCATGTCGTCTCATTCCTCTATGATTTTTTTGTGTTTTCCATGATTGTTCTATCATTTCTCGTGATTGATCATAAGTTTTCCATAATTTATGAGAATTTCTCTTGTATTGTTCGTGATTTCTGGTGGCTTTCAGCGAGTTTTGAATCAATTGTTTCTTCCTTGAAAATCACACAATGAGTGATCACAGATCAATACAATATCATCAGTCAAAACCGAAAATACCCGAGAGATATAGCAGGAGAAATCAAAAACTTCACATATTCATAAACTCTCGATGACGACTGCGATTAGTAATGAATGAGAGAGGATTTTTTTTTCTTATTATGTCCTATAATTTTGAAACAGCAGTTTTTTTAACTTTATCATGTTATCATCTATGGATGAATAGACAAAGAGATCCAATAATAGAAAGAGAGGGTAGACAACCATGTTCTTCTGAACGTGTAATCAACAGTTTCAATAATATTAGTTTCTCACAATGAAATAATTATTATTGTACGAATGTATTCAGGGATCATATACTTTTAAGATATCTTGTAGACTAAATTCATTAAAAAAACATTAATCTATTGGGGCTGTGCAATCTTTCAATCTGTTCTTGAGCTTTGACATAGTTCTATTATTCACTTGAATATTTTATCGTGTGTGATGTCATTAACGAACGTTACTACCACTGCATCATTTGTGGATACCGCGAATTCACCACATCGTAGAAGGGTATTTGGAATCACTCTATTTTGGCTTGATAAATTCAATTATGGAATCAATCAAGATCATTATCTTTTGATTGATGAGCTGCGAAAGCATGGGGTTCGTAGACAACAAGTATTTACTAATGTTGACGAATGCATTGATTGTATTACAAAAGTTGAGCAAGATAAAGAAGTATTGCTCATGGTATCATGTGTTTTCAGTTGGACAGTCGTACCCATCTTTCATTCTCTGTCTCAAATTAAAAATATTTATATTTTTGGTAAAGAAAACATCGTGTTATGAGCAATGGGCTCAAGGCTGCACCAAATTGAAGGGCGGTTTTGCTACTACAGATAACATGCATGATAAAATGAAAAGTGACATAAACGGTACCATAAGAGACTGTTTAGGCTTTCAAGTTTTTCGATCAGTCGAAATATCATCAAGTTCATTTGAATCTACCAAGGCTATGAATGGAAAAGAAGCTTCGTTTATGTTTGCTCCAATGTTGAGAAACACTTTACTAGAAGCGACAGATTCGGTACAAGCCAAAATCGATATGATTCAGTTATGTCGTAAGATATATGCTGGTAATAAACTTCAGCTAGCTATTATTGATGAAATTAGAAGGGAGATTTTTACCAGATCACGCTCTCTGCTGGTATACACGTAATTCATTCTTATACAGTATGTTGAATGAAGGATCACGCACCCAAAATAATGATACTGTTTATCAACTTCGGTTCTTTATCAAACATCTACATAAACAACTGTAAAGGCTTGATAACTTACAACAATCTGATGAACGGCCCAAATTACTTTTCATGGTCAGGGCAGGAGTCATCATGAGTTCAATAAGATTAAAAGTAATGTTGTTAGTCTGATGCCAATCAACATCTTTTTGACTACGACTCGAGATCATAAAGTGGCTATGTTATACGTAGACAGTAATTTAAATAATGCAAGCCTAGTCC